ATTCAAATTAACAGTAATACACATTAATTGCTAATCTGTCTCAAAGATTGCAGATTGACGCAAAGATTTAGACCAATTGTGTACTGTTATTTTACAATAAATGATGGCGGTATACAGTTAATCTACCATTTATAAAACGTTTTGTCAATAGACTATCAGCTTGAATATATAATCATGTATAAATCTAATTGATGTTTTTAAATTTGAAAATATGTTGCTGGTGCTCATACATGAAGGGATTTCAAACATACTAACTTGATTTCCGTTTCAGTGGGTCTATTTTGTTCTATATTGACCTGGTCACAATTATCAGTGATTCACTTGATACAATATAATAACTTAAAAGTATGGGTTACAGTGCTATATTTCATGCAAAATTGCCCCTGAGACTACTATACTGAACACCAGGGAATTTAACTGTTAGTATAGAAAGTTCGTGATAACACAAAGTATTCTCAGATTGCACATATTATTCACGAAAAACACTTTTTTGTGAAAAATATGAGATAGAATTTTGCCAAAATAAAACTAGAGGCTCTCAAGAGCCTATGTCGCCTACCTGATTCTACTTTGGGTTTGGAAATCATGTAAAAATAGATTAAAATCATAACGGATACCCTAATAATGATTGAGGCCAAATTTGGTTTAATATTGGCCCCGTAATTTAATCAAAAGCAGAAGTCTTTTGTAAAGTTTACAGAAATTACCAATAAATTCATTGAAATTGTAGAAAATGACTTTATAAGGACAATAACTCCAACAAGATGTCAACTGACAATTTTGCTCATGTTGACTTATGTGTAGATCTTCTTTTCTTGGTATTTTTGCAGTTAACAGTATATCTCAATCTATAAAGATACATGTATTAAAGTCTTCATCAGCACCACATAAGGAACTGCCATGTTTGGTTTCATTCCATTCAGTGCTCCTCTATAAGAAGCATTTGTATGTATTTCCCATAGGGTCTTATGTTAAACAAAGTCGCCCTGCTAGCGGCCATCTTGGATGATGGTTCAGCTACAAAGTAACAACACTTGGTAAGCACCTCATTAGGAACATTCATGCCCTTTTTGGTTTCATTCTATTCAGTGGTTCTCTAGAAGAAAACATTTGTATGTATTTCCCATAGGGTCCTATGTTAAACTTACTCCCCCTGCTGGCAGCCATCTTGGATGACAAATCAGCTACAAAGTAACAACACTTGGTCAGCACCTCAAAAGAAACATTCATACCATGTTTGGTTTCAATCCATTAAGCGGTTTTCTAGAAGAAGACATTTGTATATATTTCCCCTAGGGTCCTTTGTTAAACGAAGTCCCCCGTTGGCAGCCATCTTGGTTGATGGATTTGCTACAAAGTAACAACACTTGGTCAGCACCTCATAAGGGTGCTATAAACAGTTTCGTATAAAAAAACTAGGGGTTATTCCCAGACTAAAAATTACCATGGAGGGAAACCCCTGTTTATTTACTTAATTGGTGAAAAAGTATCATGTTTTTTGTATTTGATTTGTAAAAATTAGTTAATTAGCTTTCAATTAAGACAGGTTGAATGATTGAAATAATTTTAAAAATTAGATTAAATATGCATGTTTTGAGGGGAGACAACACTGTAAACATCCTGTTTTTTTTTGGCAGTGAAAATTGAAAACTTATTTGCAGCCACTGTAGCTCTTTTCGGAGCAGGAAACCGTACCCTGAAACGAGATTTTTTTGAAAGGCCAGGGAAAAACCTATGAATTTCATTCAGTTTTGATACTAGTAATGTAAAATGTGCCTGTATCATGTCTTCATGGGTATGCACATAACCTGATTTCAGTTTTTTTATGTTCAGATTAGGCCTTTTTTTCCCCATGTTCTCTGGATGGAACTTTTTTAATACATTAAAAGTACACTTTATTTTTATTTAATTATAAACTAGAGAAAATTCTGATTCCAGTGATATATAAATTTTTATACAAGTATCTTCATTAATCATTCAACCACTAAGGGTCACTTACGCATGGTCCCTCAAAATATGACGTCAAAGACAAAAACTGTTGATTGCACCCTAAGGAATTTTCATGCCATGTTTGGTTTCAATCCATTCAGTGGTTTTCTAAAAGAAGACATTTGAATGTATTGTCCATAGGGTCCTTTGTTAAACTAAGTTCCCCGCTGGCAGCCATCTTGGATGATTGATTGGCTACAAAGTAACAACACTTGGCCAGCACCTCAAAATGAACATTCATGCCATGTTTGTTTTCATTCCATTTAGTGTTTCCCTAAAAGAAGACATTTGTATGTATTTCCCATAGGGTCCTATGTTAAACTAAGTCACCCTCTGGCTGCCATCTTGGATGATGGATTGGCTTCAAAGTAACACTTGGTCAGCACCTCATAAGTAACATTCATGCCATGTTTGGTTTTATTCCATTCAGTGGTTCTCTAAAAGAAGACATTTGTATGTATTTCCCATAGGGTCCTATATTAAACTAAGTCCCCCTCTGGTGGCCATCTTGGATGATGGATCGGCTTCAAAGTAACAACACTTGGTCAGCTCCTCATAAAGAACATTCATGCCATGTTTGGTTTCATTCCATTCAGTGGTTCTCTAAAAGAAGACATTTGTTTGTATTTCCCATAGGGTCCTATGTTAAACTAAGTCCCTCTCTAGCGGTCATTTTGGGTGGTGGATCGGCTTCAAAGTAACAACACTTGGTCAGCACCGCATAAGGAACATTCATGCCATGTTCAGTTTCATTCAATTCAGTGGTTCACTAAAAGAAGACATTTGTATGTATTTCCCATAGGGTCCTATGTTAAACGAAGTCCCCCGCTGGCGGCCATCTTGGATGATGGATCGGCTTCAAAGTAACAACATTTGGTCAGCACCTTATAAGGAACATTCATGCCATGTTTGGTTTCATTCCATTCAGTGGTTCTCTAAAAGGAAACATTTGTATGTATTTCCCATAGGGTCCTATGTTAAACGGAGTCCTCCGCTGGCGGCCATCTTGGATGATGGATCAGCTACAAAGTAACAACACTTGGTCAGCACCTCATAAGGAACATTCATGCCATGTTTGGTTTCATTCCATTCAATTGTTCTCTAGAAGAAGTTCAAAATGTAAAAAGTTAACGACGATGAGAGACGACGGGCCAGGTGAGCTTAAAAATGACTGAGGTGATAGGTTTAAAATATACGTTAAGAAAATTTTAAAAAAAATGTTACCGAATTTGTTTTCTTGCTACAGTTAAAAATGAAAATTTGTTTAACAATCTTGATCATTCTTTTATAAAAGTTTTACTATTAGAGTTATCTCTCCTTAAATGGCTAGGTTGAAAAATTGACCGAACAAAATGTTTGGTATTTGTTAAAACAGAATTAGTAATGCAATAAATCACTATTTGTCTTTATTCAAATTAACAGTAATACACATTAATTGCTAATCTGTCTCAAAGTTTGCAGATTGGCGCAAAGATTTAGACCAATTGTGTACTGCTATTTTACAATAAATGATGGCGGTATACAGTTAATCTACCATTTATACAACGTTTTGTCAATAGACTATCAGCTTGAATATATAATCATGTATAAATCTAATTGATGTTTTTAGATTTGAAAATATGTTGCTGGTGCTCATACATGAAGGGATTTCAAACATACTAACTTGGTTTTCAGTTTCAGTGGGTCTATTTTGTTCTATATTGACCTGGTCACAATTATCAGTGATTCACTTGATACAATATAATAACTTGTTAATTACCTGGTCTGAACTCACCAAAATGCAACAAAATTTATTCTGCATTTTATTGGTTGTTTAACATTTATATTAAGATTCAGGAAATGTACGTTTTTAATTGTTTCATGTCGTTCCAACCCAAGCCAATCAGGTTCAAGTAGTTCAGGCCCCGATCCGGTCAATATTTTAAGTCGATTCGTTCCCTATTAGAAATGATTAACATATGTGATTTACAGTTGATTCCCGTGTAAATGTATCCTTGAAAATAATTTAGGGAAAATCAAATTTTATGAATCATATTGAAAATGTTGACGATCCACAGTATATATGTTGTGCTATTATGGACCGAGACATATCGCCAACGGGACAACCATAAACCAAAGTCCAAATATTTTAGCTGCCATTTCCATTTGAATATATGTATTGAATTCCTCTTGTAAGACCATATGTGTCTGAGAGTTTACAATAAAGAATTTGAACTTGACATGAACTTGGTACGCTTGAGATCTTTTAAAAGCTGATATTCACGAGTAATCTCCATTATATATAGGAGCGCTCAGAACTAAAGGTTTGGAAACACTAAAGATGTATAAATGCATGAAAAACTATGTTAACAAGAGGACCTCATAATCGACCGGAATTAGTAGGGTTCTTAGTTATTGCAAGAACAATAGACAAAACTAGCATGGTTGGCACTATTGCAATAGACTCAACTTGTTAAGAAAGGACCACTGTCAAATCCAATAAAAGAACGTATTTACCCACCTTTATTTCAATAGTAATTGAACGTTTCAGCATTCATTATTTTGGGGGATATGTTGTATGGTTGTTTTATTTTATTTCTATTATTGGTTTTTTTTGTAGATTTCAGATCACTTCATCTGAACTGAACAAAATTTCCAAATCAGAAGTTTTCATAAAGACCTTCCGTACATTATTTCTGCGAAATTTGGCTTTAACTGCATGGTCATGTAGTGTCGGAGAAAACTTGAAAAGTACTATGATTTCCCATAAGAAACCTCTGCGGCATGATTGAAGCGTCATTTTTAATTAACATCATTGTTGCCTCGAAATAACAAGTATTTCCCAAAAAAAATGACGGTTGGAATTTTAAATTTCATTTCAGATATTGCTTGTTTAGGTAAAATCAGACAAACAAGAGATGATGACACATTAACTCTACACCTAACTGGACTTGGAGCCGATTGCATCTCCGATCCTGTAAAGCATTCACTGCTCTTCTCGAGATTCACGAGTCATAAACGCAAAAGATGTAGATATCTTTATTTCAAAAAATCTCATAGGAAAAAAAAACATAAATAAACAAATGCAGGAAATAAAAAAAATCATAAATAAACATATGCAGGAAATAAAAAAAATCATAAATAAACAAATGCAGAGACACTACGAATGAAACTGTTCAACACATATAATTGTAGCAGGCTTTGACTGAAGGTTTTAATATTTGATCCGAATGAATCCAACAAGGCTTCTGACAAAATCGATCAGCTTAGGTTTAGTCACTGGTTTTGTTTCCCCTACAAAATAAATATAGAAAATAAGTATTAACAGCAATGGATAGTAATCCGTTTTCTTATTTATAACAAAAATATTCCTCGATAATTAGTCATTAATATTTGAAATAAACTATCATGCATTATATATATCATTTGAAGTCGATTTGAAAATAGCCGTAATTGGTGGCAATGTTATTCAAAGTAATAACTATTTCAGAAATGCAATTTAGAATACCACATGCAACTGTTTTATATATTACCTGTAACCATTTTTTCTTTAAATTCCTTTGATTTAAGTTTTCCGTTTTGCTTAGTTTCTTTTGCTCCAGGCTTGCGCTTCCCGTCAAATTCACTGGCTTCAACTATTCTATTATTTTTTTCCTTGATAGATTTATGTTCTTCTTTCTCTTTTTTGTCTTTTGTTTCTGGTTTCCTTTTTTCCTTAGATTCATTTTGCTCGGTTTCTTTTTTCTGCTTAGATTGTTTAGCGTCCGATATCATTTTTTCCTTGGATGATTTTGTTTCTCCTTTCCCTTTTTCCTTGGACTCGTTTTCTTTTAAGTTCCCCTTTTCATTCGATACACCTTTTTCAAGCTTCTTTTGCTGCTTAGCTTTCTTTATTTCAATTTTCCTTTTCTTCTTCAATTCCTTTTCTTCTCTTGTTCTTTCCTCCTTAGATTCTCGAGCCTCCATTTTCATTTTCTTTTTTGATTCTTTTTCTTCTAGTTTTCTTTTCTTCTCAGACTCCCGGGCTTCCATTTTTCGTTTCTTCTTTGATTCTGTTTCTTTTAGTTTTCTTTTCTTCTCAGATTCCTTTGCTTCCAGTTTTGCTGTTTTCTTTGCTGCTTTGAAGAGATCTTTGATTCCAACCTTGTGACCATTGACCTTTTCAGCAGATACTTTTTTGTAATCCTGTTCAACTATTTCAAGTTTTTCTTCTGTCAACTGAAATCAATAAAGGTTTAGACATCCATCACTGATTTGTTACTAACTTAATGAAGTATCAAGAATAATGCAACGTTTTCATTATAGACTAACATGTAAATAACAATCTTGAACAGTTGTATAATAATTTGACTTTATTGAAAAAGAATGATATACATGCATATAGAAACTAGAATGATATCAAAATGTTCGCATGATAGCACACAAATATGTGTAACTTAAAGGATAAAATATATAAAAGTAAAAAAAGTACTAGTATTCAGTAGCATAATTTTCTTCAGCATGAACATAGACTTGACACTTCTACAATATTTTGGGTGTTGATAACAGATCTTTGGTAGTCTCTATTGAGTTCATTAACTAATCTAGACCGAGGCCGATTTAGAAACATTTTTTGATAATTTCATATAATTCCGTATTGAAAATTGCCTTGTACGTTGCTTCTTATAAATAAGGAGATGTAGCATGATTGCATATGCAACAACTATCCATCAGAGACGAAAGAGCAAAGATGTAAACAATTATACGGCACTGTAGGGCCTTCAATAATGAGCAACCCATTAGTTTGTTTTATTTTGTTTTGGGATTGATGTCTCATTGACCCAAGCACACATCTATTATCAACATATTACGTACCTGTAAAGCTCCCAGTCCATTGCTATCTTTGTTTTCAAAAAAATTGATCAGGGATTCACATCCTTAAAAAAATACAACAATAAGTAAAAAGGTTTCAACATGGACATTTTTTATTTTGGTTCGGTCTTTTAGATACTTAGGTATCATTTAAGATATCACATTGGAAAAAAGAGAAGCGGTTAGATTGTCAAGGAGACTACTATCCACCAGGGGCCAAAAGACGTGGATGTGAGCAGCTATAGGTCCTAGGCGTACGATCTTCACAATGAGCAACCCCATACTGTATTGTAAGATATAAAAGCCAAACCTATGATTAAACGTGAAATAATACAGACGAGTAAACAAACGGTACGATTTATGCTAAAAAGTAAACGAAATACAAATGTGGCAGACGGAAAACAACGACAACCACTGAATTACAGACACATAAAGAATGTGGAGGGGTCAAACAAATTTGTGAGCGATCAATCCTCCCCTACATTTGACAGTGATGTAACAGCATAACAACACATCATAAGAACAAACTGTTAAAACAGTTAAGGATGTTCGCTACTCTTGTTTTTGACTTTTTGTCTGATATTCGGAATCGTCTAGTTTTATCCATGTAGTGCCAATAAAAAAATTTGTCTGCTAACTCCTACTTTTCTTTTCCTAATATTATAACATATAGTTTAAAACTCCATTTTTGAAAATCTTATGAAATCCTTGTTATTTTTCATTGTTTTTGAAAGAAAAAAGGTGTTAATGTTAAATGTATGAAAAATCTAGAGAGAATCATTTCCCGCCAAATTTTCAATTGATTATATAGCAGAAACAAGGACACGAACCTATAATTTATTTCCATTTTTTGAGTTCTCTTATTTATATTCTATCAATTTATAATAGTCTTTTGAAAAGCTTGTTATTTTGAAACAGAAGAGCAAACATCCTTAAAAAGGACTGGACTCATCTGATCGACACGAAGCACAAAAAAACAATGAACGAAAGGATTTTTACTTTCAAAAAAATGAAAACAGGTATTATCATCTCAAATGGTTCCATTGTTTTTCATGTTAATCAGAAACGTAATTTAACACACGTATTGTTCATCCACAAAAAGATCTCTAAATCTCTAAATTCAACGTTATATGAAAATAGTTGAATGAAATTCAGAAACAATTAACTTTCAATTTCAAGTCAAATATCAATCGGCAACCGAAACAGAATCGGCCTCGTTTCCGTCTTTTAAAGTATACTACTTGAAAGCAAAGTTTTTGAAAGTCAATTAGGCAGAATAAGACCGACTAACAGTTAAACTATAATTAGCAACAATCCAGTAAATATTTCGAATTATTTTCCAACTGGAAATAAAATGTATAGGATTTTCATTTCTTGCAAATTTTCACATATTTTTATGACAAACAGGCGGACAAAGGGAAACACAATATCTCAAGTTGGACAGTGGCATACATAAGACTAATTGAGCTTATCTTACAAAAATACCAATAACAGAAAAATTCAAATGAAGAATTGAGTACATGATAAAATTAAAGTTACCACTTGAAATTAAAGCATACCATTCGACATTGAAATAGAATGGTGTTTACGTGTTCTTCAAATTTGTCTGTTATTCCTGTTATTCACTCCACCCGTATTATATAAATTGTTATTGTTTGTTTATTTTACTTACTGGTAGCGTTATGACTGAAGTCCTGCTCCATGCTATCATTCTGGAATATAAATTTCTTTTGAGGCAAAGATGTATCACCCCCTGCTCCATGTTCCATCTCAGGTATTTGGAATGTTACTGTATGTTCTTTTAAACCCTTTTCTTCGTCTTTTCTTTCGCCGGCAGCTGACTTCTTTTGTGTTGTTTCTTCTAATATAAAAAAATGTATATGATATGATTTTAAACATAAAACAAACACAAGGAGTACACAAAAACCGGTTGCTTAGTATTTAGTTTTTTTATATAGTTATTCGAGACTCATTCGTTTGTTATTTTTGCCATATTTTTTTTGGTTTATTAAAATGAAATGAATTTGTGTAGTAATTTTTGGTATCTTCCGACTCTTATTTTAGAAAAAAAAGACTTTGGAGTTATGAGGGAAAAGTAGTTTGACAAACCTCAAAGTAAAAAGAAACAAAGAAACAGAACAATATTCTATCAAACAAAACCGCAAAAATAATATATATTATAATACCCTTTAAACGGGTCACTCATGCCTTTCAATGCAGGTAATGTTATGGAAAAAATGATATGGTGTATCAATTCATGACACAAAATCACTACATGCATATAATAAAACAAAAGCTAAGGATTAGCGCCTTTATTGCTGCTCTACACCTGAAATTCAGCGTTGTTAACATAACTCACATTGCTCATGTTAAAGTATTGTGTACATACCATCTGAAGCTGTATCTGGTACTTTTTCATTTGTTTTCTGGTCTGTATTCAGATTTTCTTCATCTACTTGCTCTTCATCTGTTATATTTTTGATATAAAAACAAAATTTTCAAATAATATACGTATACATCATATATCTGTGCGTCTAAAATAAGTTTCATTAAAAAATAGTATATCATCAAATAAAAGTGAGAAAAACCCCGTAAAAGTAGAAAATACAAGTACTTCTAGGAAAATAATGACGACCGAAAACGGACAGGCACGACATTTGTGAGTAAATTGTTGAAATTAAAATTGCCTTTTTGATATTTAATTCTATCCGATTTCTGCAAAAGAATGTCAGCATTTTTTCAAAAACAAATTCAAAATCTGTGGTATGATCAAATAAAGAGCTTCACATTTACAGGTCCTTGAACTAATGCATTACCTCCTTTTCCCTTACTAACAAAGACCTTACATTTACTTAACACACCTGTCGTATCTTCTGATGAACTGTCCTCTTGTAACTGTCGATAATTCTCTCTTACAATTTCCATTCTATTCCAAAATTCTAATTCTTGAGCGGACTTTGCATTTTCTTTAAACTCCATAATAAGCTGCTTTTTTGCAGCCTCTAACTGCTGGAACGGATTTTCCACGTCACTCATAGCTACAATAGTGGTTTAACAAGTGTGAAATGAATAAAGGAGATGTAAGATATATGTAAATGAAACAAGATCCTTCCCCTATATTTTCTTTTTTTTTAAAGTTCGGTTCTGTTTATTGTTGGAAAACGTGTAGGCTACAGCGAATGTACACGCTGGATCACGTGTATAACGCAATGAACAACTTTGACATCAATTCGTGTCGTTTCTCTGTTTAAACTATTGCTTAACTTTCTTATTGTCTTCGGATGGAATACAATTAAATAATAATTACTGATTTAGCATTAATAATTTCAGTGTATGGACAACACTAAAATATTAACGGTACAAAAAAATTTAACTTAAAGTCCACAATTCTTTTCAATGTAACATCATATGAAAATTTTTAGTGTTTTCTAAATTCTCCTTTCCTCCGCATTTATACAAACCCAAGAGTTTATGTGAAGAATATAAGAATTTTTAAGAATAATAAATAGGTAATATATATACACACATTTCATACAATAATATTTGAAAAGTGTAGTTATGTTTTCTTACCTTGCTTGACTAAGTATTCTCTTCGATTCTGTTTTATATACAAGAATGGAATACTTCTTCGACTGTCTAAAAATCGCTGAGATTTTTTCCTCGACGACGACGTAAAAACGGTAGTTATCGATTAAACTGTGACGTCGTCATCATTGTTATTAGCCACCAAACACTTCCGGTTTTTCGATCCCCACTAAGATCATAATATTCCAAATTACTAACAATTGTACAGTTAGTAGTATAAAACTTTTAATGCCTTGATTAACTTCTAAAATATAATATTTATAAATAGAGATTTAGGGCTTACGACAACCAGACAGCGACTCAACAACAAAAATATCCGTCAAAATTATATTAAACCTGGGAACAGTATATATCTAACAATATATATGTTCCTGCTTAAACGTTCTTGGTGATGTGCAAAAACTCATATAAGATAATTGTGTACGCCAGACGCGAGTTCCTTCTACACAAGAATCATCGGTGGTTCTCGCCGGAATAATCAACGCACCTTTGTATTCAAAAGTAGGTCAAAATTATGTCATAAAGAAATAAGGAGATGTGGTATGATTGCCAACGAGACAACCATCCACCAGAGATCAAAGAACAACTATGGTGCGTTCAACAATTAACAATAACTACAGTAAGCTATAAAAGGCTCAGGTATGACAAAATGTGAAACAATTCAAAAGAAAAAGTAAACATGATTTATGCTACAAACAATAAACGAAAAACAAATTTACAAGTAAGACAGCAACCAACAACAAACACTAAATTACAGGCTCCGGACTTTGGACAGGCATTTGCAGGTTGTAACGGGTTAAACATGTTTGTGAGCGTTCAATCATCCAGGTCATAACCTGGTTCAATAATGTAACAACACAACATAAGAACAAACTACACATACATATATCAAAAATTCAGTTGTGAAAGGCTTGATTCGTCAGATCTGCCAGAATTAGAATTAAAAAAAAACTTACAAAGAAAACACAAAGTACCGGCTGATCTTAGAGTACTCGTAGCTATTGAAAGCTTGTTCAAATCTTTACACACTCTAAAAACAGTAAAAAAATAAAATATGATATGTTAAGTATTTCATCAAACGGTGACAACTGACATGGGACATCAACATCAAGGCACTTTGTTTACAGGATACCACATGCCCTGCAAATGAAAGTATTGTGACGAAATATTTCAAATGCATTCTCGTGAAACTTGGTCGAAACAGTATGAATTACTATTTAGATTAATATCAATATTGCAATGCATTTAGCTGTGTATCTCGATAAATAATGTCTCATAAATATCTAAATATCCAGATGAAGCACTCTCTTTATCAATACAAGGTTAAAACAAATGAATCATTTATATTTTTTTTATAGAACAAATCTCTAATGAATTATGATCAAATAAGAATCAATGGGAGGTTAACGTTTATTATATAATTTTGGAGAAACGGGAAATTTATGTTCTTATACAATTTAACAAATTGGATATTATCATATTTGGCTATAACAACTAAGAAAGTTACGTTTTCATGATATTAACTCTGTTATGGTTCAAACTTGGTATGGCAACTTTTTTGCCAATGTGGGTCCTTAAAATGAATCTTAATTGAATCTAAAAAAAATGCAGAAATCTTCCTCTAGATGCATCACGTGCTCTATCGTATACTAGTTATTCTCTTTCGTTAACAAAACATGTAAGTAGTAAAGGAAGGAAAAATTTAAATAAAATTTACTGAAAACTCGAATATTTCCATTCGTAATGAATAAGATATTTCAAAGGCGTTTCCAGATCTTTTAAAATCCTGGTCATTATTATCTGATCATATAAATTCTGAGAAATAAAATACTTATTCATAATAAATACATGTCACACAGTACATATGACCACAGACAAAGAAATAACAAGCACAAAAAGGATCCGCATATGACTAGCCAAATTATGATTTATTATTTGACAGAACCTATAGGAAAAGTTTGAAATAGTCATGAGTGAAAAAATGGAAAGATGTAGAGTTTAGATTCATGACCATTTTCTTAAAATATTCTATCGAAAAGTCTTTTATCTTAAATAACACGTTGATTTGTTTTATAAGATTTACAATTGACGTATTACAAGACAAAATTACACCATATGCAAATCTTTTTTACTTGCTTTATCTGTTATGTTTTTTTTTTCTTCTCTCAATAGAAATACACAAAATCTTGTATTAGTCTTTATAATGCGAGTGAACGGTGTACATTATAAATTTCTGATCTTTTTTAGCCTGTCCATGCAAGGTTTCTATATTGATTAGTAGTATATACTAGTATTACCCTTAATACTGTTTAGTGTGGTTTCGTCAGTTTCTTTTTGGCCATAGCAATGTCGGTTTGTCTTTGTCTACAGTTTTTGATCGCCCTTTTCTCCTTCTTCTTTACAAAATATAATTAAACTGTAAAAATACACGTGAATTTGTGGGAAGTGAAAAAAAAAGTTTGAGAACAATTAGAGACACTAAAGCTCAGAGAAGGAGTATTCAGTATGACAATGAACAGCTTCAGTTTATCATATCGTCTTATTAGGTGGACTACTGGTTCAAGTCACTTACAGGAAAACCAAAAAGATTTTTTGTTGTTATCAATCATGCAATGTTATTATTTAGATATGCTATGGCATTATTGTGCTTATTGCAATAAAAAATAGACAGAAGATACCAAGGGGGACAACTTACTCATAAGTAGAAGACAAATTGTCAATGCCATGGCAACAAATAGAAGACAACGAAAAGACAAACAATTTAAAAAAATGCTGCATAGGAAACCAAAGACTCTACAAATTGAACCCAACCAAAAACTGGGGGTGATCTCAGGTGCTCCGGAAGGGTAAGCAGATATTGTTCCGCTAATGGCACCCGTGATGTCGCTCGCGGTAAGTAAAAAATCGGTGATGAGTCTCATTCGATTATTTCACAATCGATGAAAAGAGAACATAATTGTGTTTACGACAATTGGAACATATACGTGGGCATATGTGACACAGATATTCCAATGCTGTCAACTAACTCATGGTGGCGTCCGTAAAAGTTTCGAAGGGATGACTTCAAATTTACCATATGTAACCCTTGGACCAATAGCTTCATCGTAAGCAGCAACCCTCTATCAAGGACATAACATCATGTAAGAAACCAAAGCTCTTGAAAGTCGTATCAACTGAGAGATATGCACTCCATATTGCAGGCGCTGCTGGAATGTTGCTACATGGAAATGGAAAGTTCATAGTTGGGGAATCATCCTTTTTGTCGTAATGTGTTGACTCTCGTTGTCAATTTCAAGACGTAAGTCAAGATATGAGGCAGACATAACTGTATCTGTGGTATTCTTTATTTTAAGTATTATGGAATCGAATTGATTACCTAAGATGTAATTAGAAAACCCTATCGGAATTTCGGATCCTCGATGCTCTTCGCACTTTATTTCACCGTTTTAACTTTTTTGATTCGAACGTCACTGGTGAGTCTTTTATAGACTAAACGCGCGTCTAGCATACAAAAATTTAATCCTGATATCTATGATCATGATGATGAGTTTATTGACAGTCACCAAACTCCGAATTATTCAATGAGGGGGGACGTCTTTATATCTATCTTTATAAAAATGTTTGAAACTACTGTATCATCTATTCAAAATTTAATCGGACAGAGGTAATGAAGTTTTTTACATCTAAAGATTGACTGTAGTATAGAAATATGGTCACATTGACTTCTACCTTCCTGAAAAATCCATACTTTGCGAGATGTATAAATATGAAGAATGGTAGAATCATATTTAATGTCTCGTTTAGGGGGGTGCTTTCAAAAACATTTTTAGGGTCTTTAGGAGGGCTTTTGTAGGATAAAATATCTGCCCCTCAGGCTCTCTAGCATACCATCTTATGTCAGTGGCACTCAAAATCCATTGACCATTCATGTCAACCAACTTTGCAGAAGCTATCAATTGGAGTTAATGCTTATTTGTTCTGGCTCCGAATAGAAAAGACATAAGGAAACAATAATAACCAATTAATAAAGGTAAAAGTGTTGGATGGCTAAATTCAGAACCGTCCCAAAACTTCAATACAAGTTAATCCTTGAATGACCTCGTTTTATGCTCAGTTAAAATCATGCCCTTGCAATTTTTGCTAGGATGATCAGTGAAACACGTAAATATTCAGGTTTTATATTTCTACCTGATTGGCTTGTTTTTGACATTGAACTTTTAATTGCCTCAAGCTATTTAAAAGTGTTAAACTATACGTAATTTTCATAACAAATTTCTATTCAATCAAATAACTAGATCTACCTTCGATAATGTTGTGAACAGAAGAACTATCAAAATGAGAATTCTGTCATGTTATAGGCTGGTATTTGTATCTTTGTTATTAGTCTTATGCTATTCGCAAAAATATACAGGTAAGAACTATTGCGAAATATTTCTTTTTAACGAAAAGTTTAACAAAAAAAGATGAATTATATTTTTATACTTCAGCGGCTAAGTTTTACTAAAACATGCACATAGACTTTCTTTTAAAAAGAAAAATCATAAATATTTTATTCAAATCTTGGCTTGCGTTATCTGTTCTGACTGTTAAAAATACACCTGTGACGTAAATCTTTTGTTCAAACTCTCCATTATTTTTCAGGAATGGAGAGTTATTTTCTATTGTTCGTCTTCATTCATCCGGACGTTTTGCCCTTTGGATATTTCCATGGGCACTTTCTTAAAAAGTGTTCACCCATGGGAATAATTCTAGAGGACGTAACGCGATATTGAATGAAGATGAAATCTTACTATAACGACTGATACTGGATTTTTTAAAATTGGGATCTTAGTAATACAATGAACACTAAATATCCATTTTTAACAAACAGCTTTTACTTGCGAGTGGTAATTCCATCTTGTAAAATATAGTATCGTATTCACTAAAATTCAACAATATAATCCACAATTTGTTTTCCGATGCAAATCTTGGCTGAATTTTTGTCAAGGATAATATCCAAGTGGGTAAAAACGAATATTTTCCATTGAGTCCCATTCCTCTTCTGTGCATCTACAAAATATCAAATGTGTTAACTATGTGTTGTGAGTCAGTGAATTCTATTGTATTCAATAATGAAAGTTAAGGTGCGTTTACATGATAAGATTTTCCGTTCGATTTTCCATCCGACTTGATACCGTCGCACAGGTAAATCGTACAGCGTTCTGTTCACACGATACGATTTTCCATTCGATTTTGAGCAGATTTGAACAAGTGCTTTTATTTTTCTAAACGCAGCAACTTCCGACATTATCTATACGGCATGTAATCGGCAATTATATTATTAAAATTTAAACAAATATTATTGAATTATTGATTGGTGATTGGTTAATGATTTTTTACCAGAGGCTCCAAGGAGCCTGTAATCGCTCATCTGATTCACAGAAGTCAAGAAAAGAATTTAAAAAAAAATTCAAACTGAAAAAATTTGACAACTGAAAAAAAAGCTAAATAAAAATTGTCATTTGAAGTCTAATGAATGTTAAAACCCGTTTCCAAGGACTATTCCTCCAAAATATGATTCCATCCAGCCCAGTTTTTTTATAAATGTAGCTTTTTATACTTTTATATGAGATTTTATGTTTCTTTATTTTTATTAAGTTAAGTACATATTGCACTACTATAGTGATCGTACTGGCCGTAATAATGTTTTCTTCGTAAACCTGTAATTTCCGTGAACGGATTAAAGACCCAAGCTTGACAAAATATTTAGCACAATATAGAGTGTGATATGAGTTATAAGTTTACCTTAAATAATTTTGTTTATATCAATGGTCATTTATTCCAAATTATCAGTCTTGAAACAAAGGTGAAAAATGCAAAAAATTGTTCAGCATGTAATCTCAGACTCTGTTTTTTAAACAAACACTAATTTTGAAAATGAATTCTACACCCAACAGATTGATATCGGTGTCAACATTTAATTCTAATACTTCTCTCTTCAGATAGACGTATTATGTTTTATAAAAGACGAAATAGTCGAAATGTAACCTCCGTGCGTGAAATGTAATATCCGTTGAAGTTTTTGGTGAAGAGTGATTTCTTTCACGTACGCACTTCTGTCGAGTATGGCATGCCAAATAAACATATAAATAATTATTACGGATGGCGAATATATAAATTACAGAAAAAATACATACATTGCAATTCAGACGACATAAGGAGGCACCATGTGACACTTTTAATTTTTCACTGAATTGTTTAAGTGTAACAGAGTTGGTTTTTTTTTCATATCTAGAAAAAAACCGAACCGGATATTTTTACATCAATATTAATGCAAGTAGATAAACCCGTTTTCAATATTCAAGATATGAAACTTTTATTAAAATATAGATCTAATAGAGAATTCAATACTATTAAAGAATGGAACTCTCTAAACAGATAACAGTTGCTTCATGCGTCTTGATTTATTACTACATGTACGTCTTTGTTTTATATGCACATGTTTTTGTGTAATTCACGTCTTTTTGATAGAGTTAAGGTGGTACCTAACACTACAGGGAGATAACTCTGTAAAAATCAGCTAAACGTTTTAATTACGTTGTATTGTTAAGGAAATATTAAGCTTCTCAATGATCAAAATTAGTGTTTGTCAAACTGCTATATAACCAAAGAAATTTTTCTGATAAAGTGGTTGGTTCAAATTTTTTGAAATTTTTATATTTTTGTCAAAGGGTCAGGTAAACATTTTGTCAAAATTTTATGAAAATTAAACGAGCCAAATTAATATTAGTCAAGGTGTTGGGTACCACCTTAAGCCACTATATTCAATTAATATTTTATAGTGCTTTTTTTCGTGTTGAAATGTCATACATATACTACTTTTTAGGTAAGGGCGAGGGTTGGCGCCTGTTAAGGTGTAATACCACCAAATCATAGTACGTCATACGAAAATAGGTCGGAAAAAATATTCCCTTGAATTTGACAGTTGTAGGTAATTGATCCTACATTTCATTGCAGTAAAACATATCTGGGTCATAAGCATATTTCTTGGGTATTTCAAAGCACCATTGTTTTTTTATTTGGGGTTTCTATAGAATATTTTGGAAACTTGAGGTTACATGGTTACTAAAGCTTGTACACAGGTTAAAAATGGGGGAAAATTTGATTGGTTAACTTCCAGTGATGGTTATTTTCTTATATGCAATGAAATGTTATGTAAATTTTTTTCTACTGTACTGGACAGGATAAAACTTTACTCATGCCAAGTATTTCTATATTTGAAACAAAGATAAATTATGCAGATAATTTTTTTGAAAAGTGCAAATTTAACAAAGACTAATAGGGGAAAATCAATGGTGGTATTACACCTAAAACGTTCAAAACTTGCTATATTTTATCGCACCGCCGGTAAATTATCACGTTGAAATTGGTTTAACGCCGTCACGTAGTGACCCCCTATGGATCCGTAGGGGGTTAGTAAATTTCATAGGGGGTTCATGACGTCACGTCTACTGTTAATAGTGACGTCATCTATTAATGTTGTTGTGTTTTATTGTTTATTTCTCTACAAAACACAACGGAAAAAAGTCTCGCGGGCGATAAATTCGTTATACGGTTAACTACTGACCCCTACGGAACATAGAGGGTGAATAAAATCCATAGGAGATTCGGCATTCGGCCTCACCCCCTATGGATTTTACTAACCCTCTATGGATCCGTAGGGGGTCAGTAGCGAACCATATAACTTATAATATGCACCTGTCCCAAGTCAGGAGCCTGTTGGTCAGTGAATGTCGTTTGTTTGTGAGTTTCATAAATGTTTCTTGTTTCTCGTTTTGTAAATTAAAGATTAGACCGTTAGTTTTACTGTTTGAATTGTTGTACACTGGTAATTTTGGGACCCTTTAAAGTTGCTGTTTTGTGTGAGCTAAAGAAGGCTCCGTGTCGAAGGCCGTACTTTGACCTATAATTGTTAGCTTAAATTCGCTGTGACTTGGATGCGTAGTTGTCTCTTTGGCACTTAAACCACATATTCTTATGTATAATGTTCACAAGTATTTATAATTATTTGTTATTTTTTTTTCAAACTTGTTTTAAATTATATATACATGTGCGAACTAAAGTAGGGTTTAAGTGTGGCATGAATATAGGAAAATAATACCTTTTTATAAAATGACGTTAAAGGTCTTCGAATCCATGATATAGTCCAGCTTGTGCAATACCATAATTAGAAAATTTAGAATAAATAAAGGGATATGAGACTTTCAATCCCTGAAAAAAATTGCCAACTCGGATTCAAGATCGCCACACGTCAAAACATTATCGGACTAGGAATAGCTAGAATGATTTGTTCTCCTTATAAATGTCAATTCGATTTTTCAGTATTATAATGATCCCTAGCAATACTCTCAGTTCACAAATTCCCGGATCTAATTAAGTTTTACCCCGAAATGAAGAAGGTTACTTTTTTTAAATGACACGACTTTTCCAAGAGCTAAGAAAGTTTGACATAATTTTCTGATTTGGAGAATCGTCAATGGTTTCTGAGATACAAGAGGGGTTGATTCATGATGAAGCCAGAGGCGAATTTAGGGGGTGGGGCAGGGGGCCCGCTCCCCCTTTTTGTGGGAAAAAATTGGTTGATTATATAGGGAATCACTGAAGCATACATGACTGTCCTCTAAGGCAGTCAATGGCCCCCCTCTTGATCCGCCACTGGAAGTGGTATAGATTTTATTTTTCATCCAATTTAGATGGAATTTTTTCCATTGTGTTATTCATTTTGATCCCTTTTGGAAATGTCAACGGATTTTACATATCTCATACGGTTATAGAGTTAAAAGGGTAAAATACTACTGAAAATTACACTTTGCCACACTTTTCTTATGGTATTTGATATTTTTATTTTCCAACCGAGATTAATGGGATCTTTGGCATAAAGTTCCTCACTTTCATCTCTTTTAAAAAATAGAATTAAATGCCGTATCCAAATCCTTATTGTGTCTACCTTATTACTGTGTCCACACTCTTTGTTTCAACACTTACCCAATTAACCGCGATTTCGCGGAAATCATCTAGTGTATTCTTATATCAAAGAAAATACCTCGGCTAGACGTATTATAAATGTATTCGATAATCGTTATATTAAAACATATATGTGTGCATGTCCATAGGATTTTGATTTTTGTGAAATTTTAATAAATACCAGGTACAGCTTTAACATTCTGTAAGATGTTAATACACATAATTGGGGCATGCCTGTCCGCAAGTTTTTTAGCTCACCGGGGCCCTAAGGGCCCCATGTAAGCTTATGCCATCACTTGGCGTCTGTCGTCGTCGTCGGCGTCGTCTGTCGTCGAAAACTATTTCAAAAATCTTCTCTTCTGAAACTACTGGGCCAAATACCTTAAAACTTTAACTAAATGTTCCTTA